TGCTTTCTCAGGGATGGGGCCTGTACAGATGGATGGCATCTTTTCACTGACTAATGGAGGTTGAAAGAAAATAGATGAGCTCCTGGATGAGAGCTCTGAGTCACCTGGATGCTTTTGAAATTCTTCTGAATGTAAAGCAGGCCTTGGAAGAGCTGTGGTTTGTCTTGTTCACTGGCCTGGATGGACAGGGAGGTTTCCTGGCACTAAGTGTTGGGAGTGCTGGAAAGATGTCCCATGGGCCCTTAGATGTTTTGGGAGCTGGGAATTTTGGCTTAACCATCCCAATGTTCTCCTCCTTGCCCATCCCATGGCAGAGGGTGACCATCACTCTCCTTCCAAGACCCTCCGTGAACTCTTAGTGAAGGAATCATGGAACGGTTTGGTTGGAAGGGACCTTAAAGCTCATCTCATTCCACTCGTGGGCAGGGACACATCCCACTGCCCCAGGCTGCTCCAAGCCCCATCCAACCTGGCCTTGGGCACTTCCAGGGATCCAGGGGCAGCCACAGCTGCTCTGGGACACCTGGAATGGGGAAAAGCCACCTCAGATGTGCCCTGCTCCACCACCCAGCTGGCCAGGGCAGCAAGACTTCCCAGGCTTTCCATGACCTGGCCCTAGCTGGCCTCATGCCTGTGGCCCTTGGCAGGGCTGGAGAGAAGGGGAAAGAGCACAAGAATCCCAGGAAGAGCCTGAGCTCAGGCAGGAGCCTGGAAAACAGGGAGTCCAGGGGGGAGTTTCCCCCTTCGCCCTCCGGGTCCATCCAGGAGCTCACAGGTCTCCTGCACATCCCCCTTGAAGGCACTGCAGGGTTTAGGGGTGTTCCTACCATCCCTGAGCTGTTTTACCTCATTCCAGGCAGGGCATTCCTGAACCAGCAGGCAATGCCAGCGCTGTCCACAGAGCCATCCCCTAACACTGCTTTTACCCCATGCTGTGCTCCAGCCTCCTGTCCCCCGTTTCCTAGAGAGTTCCAACCATCCTGATCTGACTTCCGTGGCTCTGCAGCCTCACAGATGTGCCTTCCAAACCTTCAGCAGCACCAAAGGCAGCTCTCCCTGGTGGGATGCTCCTTGGGATGCTGCAGGGTGGGAAGGGCAGGGCTGGGAGGATACCCCAACGCTGAAGCCCAGGCACAGAGGGTAGCGGTTCTGGCTGTGGACAGAGACTCCAACACGAGTTACAAACTCCTGCAAACATCAGATTCCTGCAGGTTTTCCCTTCCTGGCACGTTTCAAAGTGTTTGAGGTGAGGTCACAAGGTGAGGACCCCCAGGGATATTCCAAGATTGGCTTGGGCTGCACCCAGGCATGCAGCATCCCCTCACCAAAGGGGTCTGGCACATCCCAAGGACAGCGGCTGCTTTTGCTATGACCCTCTCCAAAAGGCCCAAGGCACGTCTCAGAGCAGAGACAGGGCCCCCAGGGCAGCAGAAGCTGGTGCTGAAGGAGCTGCATCCCCTCAAACACCGCTCCAGCACCATCTCTTCCCATCCTGCCTCCACCGGGATGCCGCGGGGCCGGTTCCTGCCGGACACCCCCGGCCGGCTGCTTCCCCTCCCTTTGAACTCGTTTCATCTCCCCAGGCACGGCTGTGAGGGGGAAGTTTGGGCTGGGCCAGGAGATCCCGCTGTGCCCGGATGGGGGGGGATCACAGGCTGGGGGTCCTGCCTGGCTGCCAGGCAGGGAGGAAGGATGTAAGAGGGGAGGAAGAGTTCTCCACCAGCAAATCTATTTTAGGTGGTTTCCAGCTGTTCCTGTGGGGGCTGGGGGAACCACTGCTATAGCCTGCTCAGCCCAAGTGATGCTCCTGCATCCCTCCTAAGTCAAGGAAAGGCCCCTCAGGTGGGAGGCAGCACCATTCAGACCCCAGCAGCCAGGAGAGATCAGGGGCTGGAGAAAAGGGAGAGGATTTGGTGGGACATCCCAGTGCCATGACCATGCTGGGTGTGTGCTGGGGACAGAAGGAAGAACAGGAGGCGCCAACTCGAATCCAAACAAGACCCCTCTCCATCACATAAAATCTGCCTTCACCTTGCAAGAGTGGCCCACGGCCCTCTGTGCTTCTGTGTCCATGGGAAGTGCCCCTGGAGTGATGGAGCATTGGATGCTGCTCTGGCATCTCCCACTGCCATGTAGAGACACCCCAAATGTGTCAGGGTACCATTTCTTCCAGGAGAAACCCACTCTTGGGGCCACCAGGTTTCCAGTGTCCCTCAGGTCTCCAGCAGCTGGGTCTGTGTGTTTCCTGGAACAGGGATCAGACCAGCAGGTTGTCCCCCAGACTCCCAGCCCAAGGGCCAGGCTGTCCATGGAGCTGGAACCAGGCTGCCATGCACCGTGTTCCCCATTCCCTGCCGTTCTTCCTGTGGGGAAGACACAAGCTGCCAAGAGAAGCTGTGGCTTCCCCATCCCTGAAAGAGTCCAGGGTCAGGCTGGAAGGGGCTTGGAGCAACCTGGGATAGTGGAAGGTGTCCCTGCCATTTCCCTCTCCCTGAGCCTCAGCGGCACCGGGGCTGCCTGTGGGAGGGGAGCAGGGCTGGAGTGTGGGGGATCCCCACAGGACCCCCTCAGCTTCCTGTGGGTCACACTGGTGAGGATCCACCCTGTGCCAGGCTTGTCTGAAGAGTCCCCTGGCACAGGAATGGGCTGCAGTGAGCACACTGTCCCAGCCTGTGCCAGGGGACATGTCCCTGCTCCCACTGTCCCTGCCTGTGCCAGGGGACATGTCCCTGCTCACACTGTCCCTGCCTGTGCCAGGGGACATGTCCCTGCTCACACTGTCCCTGCCTGTGCCAGGGGACATGTCCCTGCCCATGTTCTGGCTGCCCTAGGGATGAGCCTGAGGTAGATATCCCCACATCCCTCCCCACCTGCCTGCAAAGCTCTGCTCAGCTCTGGCTGCCATCACTGCCTGCAGCTCTCTGGGGATGCCTGGAGCTCTCCCAGAGCTCTCCCAGGTACAGTGGCCACATGTTCCCCCAGGGCCCCGAGTCCTGCCAGGTGCTCCTGGCTCTCAACACCCACTTTGCCACTGCTGGGTTCAGTGTCACAGTTAGCAATGACACCACAGGAGCCCTGAACACTGCAAAATTGCTGTCACTGTCATCCTTAGCGTCCTGCAACAAGCTGGGAGAAACTCGAGGCCTTTCAGATTCAGGGAATATTCCTTAGTGGTGTTTCTTGTCCTGTGTGCTGTACACAGGGCACTGCATCCCCTAAAATCACCACATGTATCAACTGCCAGGAATTCATGAAGCTGTAGGGTCTTTAAGGTTGGGAAAGACCTTGGAGATACTTGAGTGCAACCATTAGGTTGATGAAGTTACAAAGCTTTTCAATATTAAAATATGTTCTGAAAAGACAGAGAAAAAACTCCTGCTGCTGAGTTCTTGGCACACAATGGGATCACAAAATTCAGGGTGGGAATTGCATGAGAAAAACCCACCCAAACTGTACAGTATAATATTAATATTCATATTGCTCCCAGGAAATCTCCTGAAATCAGGGCAGGAGTCTCCCTTGAAAGGCCCATCTGATGCTCAGAGGCAGACAAGGAGTTAAAAATGGACTGGTTTGTTAGGAAAATGCCTGACAGGCTGTGCTGCTCCTGTGGAGCCGCAGAACTCCCACACCGGAGCCTTCCCCACACGCAGGAGATGCGCAAAGCCCAAAAAAGCTCCGAGAGCAGTGACAGGGTGGGAATCACTCTGGTGACACCGGCGGGCTGGGAGACAGCGATTGGGAAAATCACACCTAGGGAGGAAGTCGGGAACAGTCTGTGGAATCATGTGCGGCAGCGAGGGGGTGGCCAGGGATTGTGGATTTATCCTGCACCCCCTCCTGTCTAACAGATCTTCTCCAAGCAAGCTCTGCTGCTGGTGTCTGCGGGAAAACAGCAAAGGAACACATCCCTGGGCTGATCCCATGGATGTGGGGACACCGAGAGCGCTCGGGCCATCCCAGCACAGGCGCCTCCCGTCCCTGTCTCCCTGAATGGGAAGGCAATTCCTGCCTCGGGAAGGGTCTGGGCAGCACCAGCACAGGGGGTCGGTGCCTTTCCGGGCTCTTTGTGCTGATGAAGGGTCGGGGACCCCTCCAGGGAACTGCCCGAAGTGCAGAGGGGTCTGACAGGAGCGCCCAGCCGGGCTGGGCTGTTCTCCAGCAGTGCTCCCGCATCCCGAGCCTGGCAAAGGCGTCAGAGCGAGAGGGACTCACAGCCAGGTGAGCCTGGCAAAGGCGTCCTCAGGGCGAGAGGGACTCGCAGCCAGGTGAGCCTGGCTCTGCTCAGGGCACCCAGGTCGGCTCTCATGTCCCAGCCCCGCTCACAGCCCCCGCTCCCACCGCGGCACCCCCGAAATGCTGCCCCAGCCCAGCGGGGCACGAAGGGTTAAATATCTCCTCCTGGGGCGTCAGAGCTCCAACAAAGTGCTCAGATAAGGTGTCCTCCTCCTTTTCGGCCCGAGATACTTGCTCTGGGCTTGGAATGCAGCAGTTAGAGAAGGGGGAAACCGGAGAAAGGAGTTTTTTTGCAAGGCACCCTCTCCTGGGGGAGGCTGCCCCATGAAATGTGCCAGGCTGCCACCTCTGGTTCCTCAAACTCCCAAAGCTGTGTCCCACAGCAAGTCCCGCTGCTGCCCATGGCAAGGGAAAATCCGGGCTGAAAGCCGAACCTGTGTCCCCTTTTCTCCAGGAGCACCCGGCTGGGGCTGTCCCATGCTTGGGGACACTTTGTCCTGGCCGTGGGGATCCCGTGAAGGACTGTCCCTCACGGCCAGCACTGCCTGCGCACCCAGCACCCCCCGACTCCCCAGAAGAAGTTGCTGGAGCCTCCAGGACACCCCCCCCCTTCCCCTCCTCTCCCAGCCTGTCCCTGCGGCCAGATGTGTCTGGGATGGCAGCGTGGAGGAAAGTCCTTTCTCCCAGGGCTTCTCCAAGAATTTGGGGTTTCCTCACTCCCTTTTAACCTCCACAACAGAGCTGGTTCCGACGCCTTTTCCTACCTGACGGGGATCTTCACCCGCAGGTACCGGTCCACGGCAATGGCCAGGAGCGCCAGGATGGAGCTCTCCGTGAGGATGAGGACGGGACAGGCCACCATGAGGCAGGTGTAAAACTCCGTCTGGGGTCCGATGTTGATGATGATGGCCAGGGGGATGACCAGAGCCCCCACGGCCACGTCGGCCACCGCCAGTGAAACGATGAAGCAGAAGGTGGCATCCCGCAGTGCCTGGTTCATCTTCACAGCCCAGATGACCAGGATATTGCCCGGCACGGACACCAAAGCGATGAGCACTTCGATGGAGATGTAGGCAGCCTGGAAGGCTGAGATGGGGTGTGCCATGATGCTCCGGTCCGCCCTGCTCCCGTGGGGTTCCTCGGTCGCCTGCGAGCACACAGGGAGGCAGTGAGAGAGTGGCATCGCTGATCGAGCTGCGAGCGGGATGGAGCCTGGTCGAGGGGGTGGGAAAAACCCTTCTCCCGTCTGTGCCGTCCCCCGGGGCTCCAGCCCCCCCTGCCCCTCCCGAGCTCATCCCGCACCC